GTGCAAAGGAGGTGTGAAATACTATGCAATCCATTTGGTCATGTTTTATACCCATCCAGGCATGATGCAAAGACTAAAAAGTTCAGAGCAACTGAGAACTGGGTGCATACTTTGTCACCTTTTAGCATGTTGCAGGTCACATCTATACTCTTATTTTGTTGCTTGGTAGTACTACAGACAAGAAAATACTGGCAAGCTTCCTGAGAGTTTTTCCCTCCGGGGCAGTCAAGGGAAGACAAGTGCGCTTCCATTGCTTTCCTCAGCTGCCAGGTGTAGCAGAAGAGATAAGCTCCAGTGAAATAGAAATGGTAGTGAGGGTGTTCTATCTCATGCCAGCTACCCATGGACCAAGACTAAAATTCCATTTATACAACTGCAATCCTCTGGAGTAGTGCAGACTGTACCCTCTAGCTGCTACATGACAATAGACAATCTCCCTTTCCAAATCTTTATATAGCCAGTGCTCCCTAGGAGCAGTAAGTATTGTCCTTCTAAATATGCTGATTGAACTGAAAACAAAGAACTGATTCAACTCTAAACCATGAAAAAAGATCCATAGGGACTTGCTTCCTCTGAGGAAGTGAACAGAAGATGGTGCCTCCCAGTGTTCCTCTTGCTGGATACAGGGCCCCGGGGGAACTGCAGGCCTGCTTACATGTAAAGCAATTGTTGGCTGGCTGATTTTTCATTTCAGCTGTGAAACTGCTCCATTGTAAAGCTATTTCATCAAGCAGGAGAAAGCATTCTTCATTTCCCAACAAAAGAAGATCAATTTGTTTCCTTAGGCACAATTTACTCTTTCACATTTCTGGGCTTTGTTGTATTCTTACCTGACAATCTGAGAATGCTTTTGATGTGAGAGCTAGCCAGCTTTGGACGTGAGCCTCAAAAACCTGGGAAAGTACAAAGAGAATCTAACATTGTGTGACATTCACCTCCTCTCCTCCCCATAAGGCACACTATCCCATTTTCTTCTATAGTCTGCCATGCTGGTTGCTGATCTCACTTTAAAGCTGTGTTAACATAGACTGTTTCCAGTGACTTGGATGGAGACTTTATAAATTTAAGCCAATGCAGCTTAGATTAGAATATGGCTCAGCTTTATTATCCATATATAATTCATAAATTCCCTTCTACTACTTCTATATTTTCTACTGCTAGGTAGGTTGGCATCTAAGGGAGCCTCTGTAAACATAATTCCAACTCCAAAGAGGCAAAAGTTGGATCATAACAAGCAAGCCAATAAACATATGTCGTACAAGGATGCTCAGATAAGAGAATGCCTTTCTGGCATGCAAGTGACCCACCAAAAGGCATGAAGAGAAATAAGAGATTGTCCTCCTTACACTGAGCCCTCATTGCCCCCAGATGAAGCCCACTGACTCATTTCATAGTTTACCTGGTTGGAATCCATCCACTTTTCCCTGATGTGATACCATGAGGATTGTTTAGAAATTGCCCTGCCCCAGAACTGGAAGTGCCTGGGACACCAGATCAAGTAGTACTGGATACATGACAGCTTGGTTGAAGCCGTTTCCTAAGCTATTACCTATAGACAGGTAGAGTATATGGAAATGAGTAACATGGAAGGCTGAGGGCTGGCAGAGAAAAAAGGTAATGGTACGAAGAATAGCTCAGCCTCTCCCCTACTCCAGAAATGTTAAATATTAAGCATTAAAAATCATACAATTCTCTATCTGGTCAGTCAGCCCTTTCCTCTCTGTCCTTTTCCTGCCTTAGATGAAGTCAAAAAATCTCCCCAGGATATAAATGAAATGCCCTCATCCTTTGCTTGTGTTCACACCAAGGAAGATATCCATAGATAAAATGATGCAGCCACCACAGTAAAATGCACTGCAGATGAACATCACCACACAAACGTAGCATGGCCGGCACGCCTCACAGTAGTAGCAGCCAAGCATGCCATGGCAACCAGCCAACCGATGACATGGCTAGGAGCCAATCTGATTTATTTTTGGCAGCCTGACACTGCACACTACTGTGCCATTCTTCAGTCACAGAAATGATAAGAGATGACCTTTGAAAGCCAAGGGGATGACTTCTGGGAGAAGGGGACTGATGAAGCTGAAAGCAGATCTGTCCCCAGGCTGGTGGAATACTGAAGTGGCAGATGTTCAGTAGGCCTCCCTCTTTCGTGACCAAACCACCACAGCTCTGCCAGCAACCACCAGTGTTGTGTTTTCTGGGGGGCTGACTGGGAGAAAGGACAAGACATGGCAAATATCTTCAAGTCATATCTTCAAGAGGGAGTAAGTACCAGGAAAAGAAACACAGAGGTTTAAAGAGATGAGAGGAAGTCATAGGATGCAATTAGGAAAAACAGAACATAGGCTTTGTACGAGGAGATAATCTCCTGGCTGTGAGACCTTTTATACAATGATGATGCTCTTTTGTGGAAGATTCTTTGAAGAGGAAAGGTTTTTTTTATTTTTCTGGACATTGTACCATAGAGTATATAGCAGAACACAGTCTAACATCCTCAAAGACATGGACAAGAGGGCCTTTTTAATCTTTTTCAGTTTCTGTCTTGGATGGCTTAGGGTCACTTACCCAGCTGTTCAAGTTTGTGAATAGAAGGCTGACATCATACTGGGATAGGAATTTGGGGGTGGTGGTGGGGGCGGAAATCTATATTCATTAACATTGTAAAGACAATACCAGTTTGACTGTGGCCACAAACTTTCCATGTTTGCTTTCTGCAAACATTTGGAAGCTCAAGTATTACTGGATGAATATTGAATGAGAATGAATAGAAGCACGTGCTGGCTTTGAACACTCAAACAATCACTGAAAGCTCATTTTAAATATATATTTGATTGTAGATTTTGCAGCTTACTCTGTTGGCTAGATATTTACATAAATTACAGTATCATATGCAAATGCATACTAAATTGTAATGTTCCCACTACAAATGATGTGAAGGCCAACAAAAGCAAGCAGAAGATATTTGCAAATAATTGAGAATGCTGAATAGAAATTATTCTTTAATGACTGGTGACTGAAAAAGAGGTAAAATAAAGCAAATGATAAATTCCTATCTCTATCCATTACAACAAATTAATCTGGATAAAAATAGGGCATTAATTCAAAGCAGAATCACCAATCCTGTTTAGGAATAAGGCATTCCAAATCTTAAATGAGAATTTATTATCACTCGTTACTCAAAAATTCTTTCCTGTGTAGACAGGGCCCCAAAACACTGATTCACTATATTCTATATTTACCATTGGTAAATACCTTTGCTCCTGTATAAAAACAAAGCAGGTACAGCATGCAGCATATCAAATTAGATTTCTCAGATCACTCCCACATAGCTTAACATTTGTTTTGCCGTTCAACTCATCATACAAAGTAAGAATAAAGGGATGGAGACCTGGACCATAAAAAGATAATATAGGGGATGGGAGTTCAAGCATTACCTCTAGAAACGTCTAAATGAAAGGAGGTAAAACAAGCATCCCTTTGTAGTGTGCTTTCAGTTTAGATTCAAACTCTTCAAGGCAGCTCCCCTTGCCCACACCATAAATTATAAATGTGCTGTATGTAAGCACCTCTCTCAGTCCTTAGCTGTTCTTTCTAAAACTATATGAGCAGGAACAGAATCTCTGAGCTAGCTATGAAGCTTGGAAGTCTAATTAAGAGAGTGGGAATTATCATTTGGGGAAGAGAAGTAGTGGACCAAATGATGGGAAGGAAAAACATCAACAAGTGCAAGACTACATGCAGGGACTAACCTTTACATCAGGATGTTTGGTTCACCTTGGAATATCAAGGTGATCCTCCAAATTTTTGCCTCAACAAGCTAATGAATGCAGAATGTCTTGTGCTACTGACAGTCTCATGAACGTGGAGGCCAGAGTTATGTTTGGCACTGCTGCTTCATCAAGTTTTATGTGGTGTCCACCTCTGATGATATCTTTCTCCCTCCTCCCCCTCCTTTGGAAAGAGCAAGGAAAAGAGTATCTTCAGGTCTTTCATGTGTTTTCTATCCAGACCAGCATCACAATTCAGTAACAGCTCTTCTCTATAGTTTGCCAACTCTGCCACTGTCAAAAAGGATGAATTTTGCCTCTCAAAACTTTTCACGTTTTCCCAGGGGAACTATTTAAGCAGAGTTGCAGCTTGGTCAAGACCAAAGGAGAACTGAAAACACCTCCTGGAATGATTGTTTGCATTGAATCGTCTCTTCTGTCCTCATTCACAGGGCTGTCAGGGCCTTTAATCTTTTCTCTCCCTACCTGATCTTCTTATCATGCAGGTCTGACCCAGATGACACATGTCTAAAAGCTTCACACGAGTGATACCATATGGCTGTCACAAGCTACTCCAAGTACAGGGGCTAGTACTGGTGTGGATGAAATTACAAGTGATGCTGATAACAAGATGATCCTTACTAAGATGTGGCTGTAACAGCAATCTCATCCATTCACAGGCAGATGGAAAAAAAGGCCTTTTGGGGTCCTTCTTGACCATCCCACAAGCAAGGCTAAATGACCTCCTGCAGTATGAGAGAGTTTTCCTTCATGAAATTTCCAGTTCAAGTTGGCAGCCTCTGGTGAGCTAGTATCAGCTCAGGCTGCTTTATCGCTCCACTGAAGTTGCCTGTGCTAGTGTGCTTGAGAAGGTTCATCTTCCTCTTAGTGTATGCAGTAGCTGAGGAGCTCTCCCAGACTCCTCCAAACCTCACAGCTGCCTGATACTCTCCTGCCACCATGCAGAATGGGTTGGATGACACATCCACCTAAAGGAACATGAACCTCCGGAGGAAGTAAAATATTTCCAAAAGGTTCTGGGAACCAGAGAAGAGGGTATAAGCAACAACATGCATCTCCCCCTTCTAAAACCCAGCAAGGGGATTACCTCGTTAATTCTCATTCTGATCCCTGCACTGGCTGTTGCAGATCAACCTCAGATGCACCCCCAGGAAACTAAGAGAGGCATCCATTTCTAGAGAGGCTCACTCCCTGGCATTCACTCACCTGTCTTCTCTTCGGTTTGGCTGCTCTCCACTGTCTCCATTTGGGGTTGCGCTGTTGCCTTGGCAGTAGCATCCTCTGCAGCAGGGGTGGTGGTGGCAGTGGTGTCAGCAGCAGGCACGTCGGCTTGTTTAGGCTCCTCTTTGTCTTGGGCTTCATCAGCCTTCAAGGACGGCGAGTTATCAGTGGAAGCTTTAGTGGCACTTTCCGTTTCGGCAGCAGCAGCAGCAGCAGACTTTTCCTCCGAGGAGGCAGCAGGAGTGGCAGCCTGTGGGGCTGGCTGCTCTGAGCCCGTGTCAGCGACTCCATCCCCTTTTTTCTCCTCTGCTGGCGCACTGCTGTCTTTGCTGCCCTCCTCCAGCTGGGCACTGTCAGCGGCTGCAGCTTCTGTGGCAGCGGGAGCATCACTATCTTTGTTCTCCCCCACTCCACCAGCAGGGCCTTCCTCCTTCTTGTCAGCGGTCTCAGTCTCAGAGGCCGGGGCATCTCCCTTCTTCTCCCCCTTGAGCTTTTTCCTTGTTATGTGTCCACGGAAGCTAGCCTGGATTTTGGTGGCTGCCTTATGAGCTTTATCTTCTGGTTTGATGCCATCTTGCTCAATCTTTTGGTCTCCATCCTCATTTTTTTCAACCTTTGAAGAAGAAGAGGGAGGAGGGCAGAGGAGAAAACAGGGAGATAAGTCAGGACCTGTCCAGGTGCAGCCCAGGCTCTGGTTTCATTGGGAATATCCCACCTCCCCCTCCTACTAACAGGTGGCAAATTTGGAAATAGACTTTCCATTTAGTATGGTTTTGAAACTAGGTGGCTGTAATTAAGTAAAAGGGCTGGACAGTCAGAGGGGTTTTGTAAAAGGAATTTAAAGCACCTCATCATCTCAGTCAGCAATGCTGAGAGCACCTTGGCAGCTTGGAAAGACTTGGACCAGCTGGGTTGTCTCTATTTATTCCGATTATTTATTTTCCCATCCATTCTGAAATGTACCAATTTTTTCCCCTCGTCATTTTCAGAACACTCTCCCTTGGGTTATTTGCACAGTCTTTCCAAATCCACCTATGCCTTCAATTCTTTGTTTCTTTTAAATGACACCTTGTTTCACAGGTGTGTGACTCTAATGACACTGAGCATTGTGTCCTTTATAGCTTTTTGGCTCAGGAGTGCCAATAAAGAATAGTATTGCTACCTGCCCTTACCACAGATGCACACTGTCAGATATGTACAGATATTCACACGATGTACACCTCTCAAATGCCCTGCCTGCAAGCACTTCAAGCACTGCCTCTACTCCTCCACTAATACCTTCAGTGAAGGAATAATAGTCAGACAGATATCAGCCTTTCCAATTTTAGCAGATTATTATCATTTCTCTGAGTATTGGGTGAAATTCAGCCTTGCAACAAAGAACTGGCATTCCCCATGCTTGTTTGACTCGAGCCATGTCTTTAACAGGACCATAACAGGACCTGTTCTTTCTACTGGTCTGCTACAGAAGGATAATCCTCGGCTTGTAAATCCTCACTGAATCCACCATGCTTCACCCCAATAATTTACCATGAGCCAGTAACAGTTCAGCTGCATATTGATGAAAGGATACTGTTCTATTAATATTCCCAATGGGAATCATTCAAAAGAGCTACTCAGAAGCAGAGGCACTGGCCTCTTTGCTGTCTGCACCTGGCTTCCAGCCCTGGTTCAGGTCACAAAAGAAAGAAAATGAGCTGACTGAAAAAGAGAGCAAGCATTTATTCATGGCTGTAAAGAGGAAACCACTTCTCAGGCCATTGCTACTGAGAGATGCCATTTGGGGAAAGGCCCAGGACCAGAACAGCAGGCAGAGGACACAGTTGATAAATAAACTGAAAAAAGAGTTCAGCAGTAATAAAGGAGAAGAAGCTGCTGCGGTATGCACACATGGGACTGGAAACACCATGCTTGTGAAGTGGGGAAGAAAAGACCGGTCACCCCAGCAGCGATCAGTGGGAAATAGACTGGAAGCGGTCATTGCTGTTGCAGAGCATGAGCACAGGTATGAGACACAGAAAGGCAAATATATGTGAGCAAAGCGGTGCAAGTGAATCCAACACTTGGCTACCAATGTGCCAGAGCTGGGACCCACCACACTCCTCCAGGCCCTCAACAAGTACAGGATTCCCCGCTCCAGCACTTGCGCACAAGCAGGTTCGTGCCAGCACCTGTAAGGCTCGCCGAAGGGCAGGCTGAGCAACAGCAGCACCTACTCCCCTATTCTGCAGGTAAACAGAAGTGAGCTGAAGGGGGCTTGGCTGCCGAGGAACGAGCAGTCCTATATCACCAAAGAAGATAGCCTCTCCCCAGAGTTGTGTAGGACAGGCCTGAACTTACCAGCACACATGTCTAGGGGTGAGACCAGGTGCTACCATGCTTATGTAGGGAGAGAGTGAAAAAGCTCATGAATGAATATCGACTGATATTAGCATACAAGATTCAGCATAAGGAGTTTTCATGCTTCTGCCAATGCACAGGGAGAAAATGGTTGTTGTGTCTATCGTAAGGGCAGAGCTGAGCACCTACATCTACTCTTCCCCAAGTGCTTTCAGCAATGTGGTATGGAAAGTGGGCTTTCATGTAAACGTCAGCTTGTCAGGCAGCAGGTGACAGTTATGTGTAGAGATGATGAACACATTAGCATGTGGTAACCATTCATGTGCATCTTATAACCTGTTCTTCTGCCTGCATTGCTAACTCTGAACCTGCGTTATTCAGTGTCTACGGTAAGCTCTCCAGCATTATTTCAGCACAGGTCTACATGGGGATGGAAGCAAACCAGAAGTATCTTTAAACTAGCCTCTTCAAGGAACAGTTATGACCAGACAGGGTAGTGTGGAGCTCTGTACAGGTTCATTTATCTTGTTCCTTAGGCAGGTTTTGTGGTTTGTGCCAAGTCCTGTGTTGCTGTGGCAACATTACTACTAATACCTGGACTAGCTGTCTTAAAGAGAGCTTGAGCATGTCTGCAGTACACTGAAGCTACAGCAACATGGACATACACTAACTATCCCTTTCTAGCACTGCATAACACTGATTGAGAGAGAGGCAGAGCTAAGGTATATAAGGTGTGTGGCCAGTTTCAAAAAGCTGCAGGGTTGGGAGACTGGAAAGAAAACTTAGATATAACCACAAGACACTTAAGGTCCAGTCTCGTATTCTGATTCCTGCAAAACCACTAGAAAATGTGACAAAACTATTAAACCCTGGGCAAAGAGGAAACTCCCAGGGTGGAAGGGGGAGCTCTCTCACCACTGGCTTTGCTCCTCTCACATCCTGGGTACCCTCCTGCCCAACTAGGACAGCTATTATTAAGCGTGATCTTGCCTCTGTGACTTTTTCCCCCAGCGGAATTACCTAGTTACCTGAGCTCACCAGCAGCCCTGCAAAGGTTTATCTCCTTCCTCCTGCTAGCAGGAGGTCCAGGGCATGGCAAGTCCCAGAGTCAGCTCTCCTGCTATTCTGACAGATGAATTCCTGGAGAGCTGTGATTGTGGTGCACTGCAGGGCCCACCTGCCTCTCTGCTTGACCTGGCAGAAAAAGGGAGAGGATTTTTTTTACCTCCAGGCATGCTGGACTGAAACCTCTCACCTGCATCTACCACATTTACAAAACTGAGAGACTCCTTTGCTACTGTGATGACATCGTTGTTCTCTTATCTCAGTTGGGATGACATCAGTTTGAGTCCTTGCCAGCTCACAAGGTTCAAAATTGCAAATTGTATTTCCGATAGGGTGCTTTCAGCATCATTTCAGAAATAAAAGATAAGAAACGTGAAGCTAGTGTAGAGGCAGGGTTTAAGGTCATGGCTGAAAGGAAGGTACTAATAGTCTGTGCCAACTCTAATTGCTTTTAGTCCGATTTAGGAATTCCATTTCTATTCAATGTTTCCCCCTTGAAGCATCCTGGACATCTGAAATGACACATTTTCAGGTTACTGGTCTGCAGGTACTTCTGGGCTAGGACACAGTATTCAGCTGATATGTATGTCATGTTGTATAACAATGGGTTGGGTGAGAAACAGATCGTTCAGAGGGAAACTTCTGTTCTCACGAAAAGAGACAAGGGCTCTTCATCTGTGAATTACACATGCAGCAGATAAACCTTAATTAAGGAAGCTACTCAAAAATAACCTGTACACAGTGAAGCTCCTGGAAAGCAATTTATCTTCCTTGGAAAGCTAAAAGGGTGAGTCAGCTTTGCCAGGGTGTATTCAAAGTCATCTCAGTGGAAAACAAGAAATCTATCTGTCTTATCTATCTGCCATCCGTGTATGACATCTTGGTTGTAGTACTGTGGCTTCTGGAATAAAAGTGATTATTATTACTAGTAGCATTTGTATAGAATCCAGAGCCCCCAGCCAAGAATCAGGTCTGTTAAGGATAGGTTTCATATATTATTATTTAGTCACACACATACCTCATTTACACATTTATGTATAAAGTAAATTCATACTAGAACTTAATACTGAAATGTCATGATACGATAAGTGTACATGCAGCATCCTGTCATCCTCATTTTTCACAGACATATACTCTGCTTCGTTTAGTGTGAAGCAAATCCATCCTTCAGTGCCAGGAGGACTTGAAATCACTGAGACAGGTTGATATATAGTTACAAGGGTGTATAAAAGGACATACATAGTCAAACACATGCATTTTTAGTTTGGACCATCTCCACATATCCACAAAAGTAGGTGTGCAAGACAAGGCTTTGCCCACATAAAATGCACTGTTAAACTTTTATGTTCCTATCTACACATCCAGGACATAGGTAGGGCAGACGTTAGTTCTCAGGTACCGGGAATGTGGAAATTGTATTGACTTGTGATTGACCCAGCTAGATTTCTAATCCCTGGCCTTCTTTCCACCTTCCATCTCCAAAAACAAAGCCTACAAAAGGGGCAACATAGAGCTAAGAATGAAGAAAGCATTGCTATAACCTCCAGGCCCATCTGAATGTCCCAAATCCCATTACGGCAGGAAAGGTGAGATGGAGAGACCAGATGTTTCATAGCTGTTCTGTGTGTTTGCAGCCACACATAGGCAAACAGTAAGACAGGAGAAGACTGAGTGCCTACGTCCTTGCTTGCTGTTTGCCCGTTTCTGTCTTGTGGTGCTGAATCACAGCTCCTGAGCCCAGCATCTCCCTTGCTTAGCTTTGGAGAGGCTGACTTGCCTTTAAGAAAAGCAGACAGAGAAATGAACCAGAACCGGAGAAGGCCAGAAAAATAAACACATAGCTTTCTGTCTTTTGGAAACTAGGTTGGAGAGATCAAGAAAGAACTTTTTGTTCTGTTAAAAGGTCTTTTAATCTTATACGGTCTCTTCTGCTTCATACCAGAGGCCCTGTTTCTGTACCTCTGTCTTTCCTGGTGTTCCTCCGCCCAACAATTTACAGCATGTATCACCCTCCTTTAACATTCATCTTAAAATCAGGCTGCTATACACTGAAACATAACCCTGCTTCCCGCTCCCTTCTGTCCTTGGATAAGAACTCTTCTTTAACCTGACACCAAACCCCAGAGCTCTTGGATTTACCCAGCCATCTCCTGGCATTCTGAAACTTGTGTGCCAGGAGTCCAGACTTAGGGTTTACAAAGCTTTCAC